CACATACATACACATACATTCACATACATACACATATATGCATACATACACATACATACAAATACATACAAATACATACACATACATACACATATACATACATATATACATATACATATATATACATCGAAAGCACCTCAAAGATGCACAAGGACAGCCCCCTTTGCCCGGCCTTACTCCAGCGTAGGGACCCATCGGGTCCCAGGCTGGCCATCTCCTGGCCATCTCGCCGGACCCAGTGGCCCTCCAAACGCTCCAGAAGGGTCTTCTCTTCCTGTTCGGGAAGGACGCCCCAACCGGTGCCCACCGGTGCCTTTCTGGGGTGGATCGACATGGGCCGACGCCGTAGTGACTATGGTGTTTTCATGAATCTGGAGGATGAGCGGTTCCTGGAATCACAACGGGAGGGGATCCTGCAAGAGAACGAAAGGGCAATAGTATGATGTATAGGCTTTGTAATTGTCTTTTCCCCTCCGTCATCTGGAAGTTGCTTCATCGACGGAATGTGCCGAAGTTCCTGATAATTCAAAACAGTCCTCCATCCTGCCAGTTGAACACACACACACACACACTCACTTTTGGAAGTGCAACCATCTGCCCCAAGCCGACACCATTGGCCTCCCTTCGGATGGTGACGGAGGTGGAATCCCCAGGATCTCCACAGCCTGGGCCATTCACACAGGATTTGGCCAATCACCCAATCTAGGCCTTGTCCGACCAGGAGCACAAACGCAAGATTAACGGAGGGTATGTCAACTTGTCAACGGCTAAGATTCACGACTCAAGTGGTACCATTTTTAATGGAGTTCCAGCGGTATTCGCTGGGGTTGGCTTCGAGTGATGTCGGTTGAGCTGAATTGAATTTTTGCCTTGGTGTATGTGCATTGGATGTATACTCCGCATGCAAAACTTTCACTGTTGGCCTCTCTTGCGCAATCTATCTATCCCAGGAAAAAAGGGTTATATATGGGTTATGGATCTAGCCTTGACTTGATCAGGAAAGGGGTTAACTTGATCTAGCCGCTGATATGCCCTGATTGCATGACGCTGATGCCTTCGCTCTGATTCACAGTGACTCTGGGGCCAGAAGGCCCCAACCCGACCAACCCGAACCCGACCCCGCCCGACTGAATTCGACGGTCACACCCAGCGACCGAAGAGATCCTCTTCGTCGGAGCAGCGCTTGCAGGTCAAAGCGCCCATGGTGTGCACGGCCGGTACCGGACGAATTGGATCGATGGACGGTGTGTCTGGCTCGTGTGGACAGCACTGAAGTCAACACCGTGAACGCTAAAGTTACTCATTAAAAAGAAATAAAAAGAATCCATAAATCTACGGACATCTAAGGACTAAACGCTTCAGCTTGCAGTGGTTCTATCTGTTAAACTTGTTGAATGGAAATCTAGTTCTCCGATTCTCCAACATAATTCCTGCCCCATGTCAGCTCTATAGTACAAGCTTGTCAGTAGCTGAAAGCAGCGGAAGAATGTGAAGCATCTAAAACCTATCCACCAAAGCCACCACAACGGCCTTGCGGTGTCTGGTTCATCTAAGCGAGCGCACGCCAAAACCTATGGGCACAAAAGCGGACCTATATATATAATTATATATATATGTTGGCATCGCTTTTGGTTGTTCGCTCTGTCACTCTACATTGTTTCGGATGTCTGTGTCATTTCTGAAGGCTTTCTCTTGAAATCACAAGAAAAATGAACAATCCATGGATATGGGTATATAGAAAGGGGGACAATAGAGACACGGAGAGAGAGGGAGAGGATTGGTAAGCCGGAAAGGGTCACTGCACACGGTCGCAGCGCGAGAAGGGTGAACAAGGGGAAACTAACCTTTGTGGGGAACAACTGTTATCTACGAATCCTGTGACCCTCATGGCTCAATGTCCTGAGCGTCTTTGAGCTGGGGATTCAGCTACCACCAGCACTCAAAGCCCCAGCCGCGCGTCTACCACCAGCCACGCCTGGGGAAGCCATGGCACCGGCCTGGGGAAGCCATGCCATCCGAACCAAAGCTTCTAGATCTTCTAGAGCCAACCACTACTCATGCGACCTCACGGAAATGAACTGCGGCTCCGCCTCACCAACCTGGAATTTTCCCCCAAAACTGATCCCTGCAAGAGGCCCCAAACAGGGTTGCGTGAGAATTGCGATGTGCATCTGTCCACATTTATTGTCAAAGACATGGAGATCTAGAGGTCCAGCCATATTGACGTTTGGAGGTCTTGAGCTCCAGAAAGGTCCAAGTCAAGAGCTCTAGGACCATGAGGTTCACAACATGCTGCGCCTGCAACCATATCTCCACTTCAAGGCTCACAAAGTGCTGCGCCTGCCACGAAATCTGCTTCAAGGTTCACAAAGCCCTGCGCCCGCCGCAGTTTTCTGCACTTCGACAGTTCACAGAATGCTGCACCTGCCAGGAAATCTGCACCTGTTTGAGGTTCACAAAGGTGTGCGGCTGCTCCAAAGTTCACAAAGTACTGCGATTGACACAAGATCTACACTCCCAGGTTCACAAAATGCTGCCAGCACCACGAAATCTGCACATCAAGATTCATATTGCACAGCACTGCCAAGGCATTCACAGCAAAAGGATTTTAAAGACAACATCAATATACCAAAATGGAGCTTTCGCTCAATACACCCAAGTCATGCTCGGCCCCAGCAGATTCTCACAACCACATGGGTATGTATATGTATATATAGCTTATATGTATATGCACGTGCATATATGTGTATAGTATAATTATGTATATATAGTTATATATATATATAAGTTTCATACGTTTAATCTATCAAACCCACATACATACACATACAATATATTGTATACAGCAGCTCATGCATTGCCAAAGCCTCAAGCCCAACCCACAATGTCACGCCCAACCTCACCTGCGAAGGGTAGGCCGTGGCCTTAGGGGACGGCAGAAGGATTGGCCCAAGTTATGGTGAAGAAGCACTGGTTGAAGCAGTCACATATTGTGAAGAAGCCAGAGCACATCACCAGATCATGTCATTCTATTGCAGTCCCCTAAGGACATCGTCTGGTATATCACCCAGCCTGGGGGTGACCATGACTGCTCCCGTTTCACCAGCAAAACTAACACCCACTCTACCTGCTACTGAAGACTACAACGTGGTCATGGATCTTTGAGGCCGGTGACATCGAGGACCTGAAAGCCATGGATCAAAGGAACCTTTCAAACATTCGATATCGTCCATGGAGTTCCCTGTCCATTCGATATCGATAAATGCTAGATTGCTTCCATTGAGTTTCCTACGTCTTAAACCGCAAGAAACACACCTCGTTGTGGGGCAACCGTGTTGTTCTCCATTTGCCTTTTGGGCTTCGGGGCGTTTTTCTGGGTGCAAGCACTGCCGTCGTCCAAGCACTGCCGTCGTCTCTCTATCTTTCCGGCGCCCTTAGGGCGTCCAGTTGTGAAGGCGCTCCAACGTTGCCGGCAACAAAACACATGCAACGACGACAACCCTAACACATACCGTCGCGGCAAACCATGCCACAATGCCAATCACATACAGTAACACCAAGACCTATGCCTTGACAACAACTTGAGCCCTTGTGTTGGAGAAAAGATCTTGTTCCACAAACCACTAAAAGCTAATCTCCAATGCACAGCTGGAAAGGCTCGGAAGTTGCGGCAGGTCCGCACAAGCAAGGAGATCTGCAATTCGCTGCGGGAGAGGAAACAAAACACGACAAATCATGTGTAATTAATCAATAAAACCGTATCATCAATAAAGCATTGGCCACTCTTGAGGCCCAGGTCAAACAGTTGATTGAACATCACCCATAAGTAAGCAAGCAGCGCAGTTAAGACAAACAATGTCAAAATGAATGTTGCAACGTGCGGTCATTTCACGGTTTCCACCACATGTGAGTGTCGAGCCCCAACTTGAACCTGCTTTCCGGCCAATGAATTCTGGAAAATGTGGCAAAGCCAAACGGCCATGTGGCACTCTCTTTCAGAAGTTCCATGCAGCATAGCTCAGCCTCTTGAGGGGACTCTGGGCGTGTTCACCACACAACAAACCCAAATTGGCGAAAAATCCTTTCCAACTATTGCTTCAGGCTGGGTCCCAACATTGGATCAACACGCACAGCTTTTGACAGCAACATACATCGACGTTCAGTGACCAGAATACAAAGCTGACAGTTCGCATGGCCGCATCGTACAGTAGCGAATCCGCGAATCTTTGTCGCGCAAGCCGTGTGGGCCGTGGCCGGTCTGGCTGCAGTGGCAGCCCACAGCTGGTTGAGGATGTTATGGCAGCCGCCAAGGCGCCCATCCACATCCCAAAGGCATGGTTTCATTTGTTTTGAGATGAATGACATGTGGAAAATGGAACAGTTCGCTACATTCTGGTCGAAAAAGGAGCCGCCGAGTGAGAAGACCGGCCGGCCCGTGGATCTAAGGCAAGCGATGTCATTTCGAATCAGCCCTCACCAATGAAATCACGAAAGATGTGCATGAAATGATTGAACATGAGTGAGGGATACAATGAGGGCATCGACTCTTTTTCATGACTTGGGCATCGATCTGCTGTCGTCTTGAAGCGTCTTGTGCCACAAGATCATTCCTCTCTGGTTCACGATCAGGTGATGATCTGGTCCACCACGCAGCTGGTCTTCTTTCTGCAGTTCGCTGAGGTGGACGCGGAAGCCGAGGGGCACAGACTGCCTGGGGAGCGAAGGCGATGGCAGGTCGAAGAGATGGCAGGCGATGGGGTCTCAATGTGCCGCAACAGTGAAATCGGCAAATGCAAAGGACCAAGGACTGGGCCTTGAGCAACAAACATAGACCTATCATGTGGCTGCTGGAGGCTGCCATGTCCAAAGAAAAGGCATAATTCATAAAGGTTTGGTGTGTATGTTTTTCGCTTCTGGCTGCATACTCTCACCGAGGAATTGTTGAGTTTGGTAGTGATATGGTGAGACCATCTTGGCAATTGCCTGTGAATCGAAACTTACCTAGAGTTACAAAAGCATACAAAGGCTTTGCTGAGCAAAGCAAAGCAGCCATCCGGGCAGCAAACATCGCCGGAGCAAAAGTACTGCTGGCCAGACTGGTCCTGAAGTTCCAGCGGGCTTAAAAGTCTGAGACTGCTCTGCAAATCCAAAGCAACCAGTGGTGTGATAATGCAGGCTGTGACACATGTTGATCCTTTTCTTGGGGACATCGAAGTCGATATATATCATTCTATCTCCCCACCTATTCCTATCATTCTATCTAACGTATATAATCATAACTACATATATAAACCACCCAGAAGTTCCCGTAATCATTTGGATCATAACAATATTATTGAGTTATGCATATAATGTATCATACTATCATTATGTATCCTTCCGAATGCCCACAATTGTGCACCACCGTCAGTGCTACCCCTAGTCCCCGGTCCCACCAACTGTGTAAGAGAAGTGCGCGCTCCCCTTCAAGCGTGCGTCGCCGCGTGTGCGCTTCAACGACCATGTGGCAGGGCAGGGGACAAAGTCGCCCACGTGGCACATATCCAAGGTTCGGGCCTTCGTGAGGCCTTTCACCTCGGAAAATTTGTGGCCTGAACAAACCGTGAAACCCAGTCTGTGCGGAATCAGCTACCCGATCCAAAGGGAAGTAACTTGAAAACACCTGGCTCAGCACGAGACAACACTTGAAAGAATGAATGATCATTGTACACTAGGTGTGTGACCTTTTTTGGCCGGGATTTGTGATTTCGCAATTTCGAGCCTAAACTCTTGCATCTCTTTAAACGTCTTGCTAGTCAAACGGGCATGGATAGATTGCACATGATTGCACATACTACATGTGCAAACATGCATCAAGCAAAGAATCCAAGAACCCTTCAAGAACAAGTTGTGAGGAACTACAAAATTCCTTCCAATTATAACAGAAAGTCTAGACCGCCATCTCGAATCACTAAACACATGCACGCTGCTCGACCTATAGTAAGGCAATTCTTTACTTGTGCACTGTCAGCACTGTTTCACGTTGTGACTTGAAGAAACCTTAGCCAAAGGGCCGCTTCATGCGACATGTAGGAATTGTTGAATCGAAACGGCTACTAAAGCAAAGTCGCGCAATTCAACTTCTTGGGGTGTGGACAACCTGCAGCTGGGTCTTCCATCCAGCCCCATGATGGGCAAAGGCTGCCTGGTGAATCGACTTCCGAGCCGTTTCCGTCAGTAAAGTCACGGTCAAGCTTTCTCTGTCGTCGTGAAGAAGGCTCTTAAAGGTAACCTAGTTACCCACTATAGTTGTGCAATTATAGGTCGGTGTTATCTTGTGGCCAGGATAAGGATGTGTACTGAAGTGTACTGAACGTTACTGAACGCAGGCCCGATCTTTAATGATCCAAGATAGGACATAATGTTTTTACACAACCTCTGAAGGCCCTTTTGGGGATCAATGATCAAAGAGCGAATGGACACAAGCAAACATATACGAGTTTCTTTTTATTTTTTTTCCATCAGCCAACTGGAGAATACTGGAGATCAGGCACTGATGATTCTTTGAATGCCAGCTTTCACTCACAGGACCTTTCAATGCGCTCTATCGCCGAGGCTCCGTCAGAGCAGCACGGAGTCTGAGCATCACATCGGCCGCCGTCCGGGCAAATGGCAGCACTCCCAATCTCACATCCTGCCAACACACCATCCAAACACTAAAACATGGAGAACGATGTACGACCTGATGGGTGGTAGCTCTAAAAGGACTGACGAGTAGATGTGATTCGTAGATGTAGTGTTGTCTTGCCAGCTTGCTGGGAAGTTCCTTTGCCTGTGGTACTGTGACACAGTGGGGTGAAACAATTCAGAAGATTATATTCAAAGGTGTTGCCACCTGTCCTGCACCAATGAGACTCGGCTGCCAGAGCGTTCGGCGAAGGCACATCGAAAGGTCCAGCCGGCTGACCAAACTTCTTGGTGTTTATTGTCTCGCTTAGCAGCTTAGCAGGATACAACGAGGGATGTGCCAATTAACTAATCAAATCTGAATGAGGGATGCGATGACGGAAAGAAGGAAAGGACCTGGAACGAACATCATGCGGCCATGCGTATGTATCTAGTGGTTTTGTGCATTCATCCTACACAACTTGCGTTTCCAATTGCCCCCTTCTCAGGTTCTGAAGAAGAGTGGTCCATGGAAAATAGAACTGGATCACTGCCCCTGGTGTTTTCAAGAATTACCAGCAGTACTCCGATCCGAACCCCCACCCCTGGCACCCCTGGCGCAGCCTTTCACGGTGACGGATGGAAGAGGAGGAAGGTTCCAAAGCTTCCTGGCCGTGCGGCCGCCGTGTGGCCCTTCCCCCGGCACGAAGAAGTGAACAAAGACTCCCTGAAATCATCGGAAGTGGAATGCATGGCCCAGAACGCATGACCAGTTGTCATATTGTTCTCTACACTGCAGTACCTTAAGGTGGTTGTTTTCCACGACCCGTGAATTCCGTGAATCTGTCGGATTCTGATCGGGTGGCCAGGTCCACCAGGGCGGGGGCTGAACGGGCAAGTCCATGTAGACAAACGACCGGCTTTTTTTCCTTTTCCATGTTGAGAAGAGTTGTGCAATCCTCGATGTGGATGATCTGGACCTTGAGGGAGGGAATCAGCAGGACGGGCTTCGACCACCCAAAGGTGGGTAGCACTTGTTTCGCCTTCAATGTCATTGCAAGTGAGTCAAACTTCAGTGAAACAACGTCATAGCTGAAACTAAGAGGCTCCTTGACAATCCCTTCTTCAAAAAATATCCCAGAAAAACCGAACTTCATGCCCAGTGAGAAACAAGCCAAGCCCATCTCACTCAACCTGTCCTCTTGGCAAAAAGGCCATCGGGGAACTCGTAGTCTGGAGCAGATGGACACCCAACCTGAGCGGCGCGAACGAGGCTGGTCACCTGACATGTCGTTTCTCCAACATACCGGTGACAAGAGAGCCACGATTCGATGGCCACGTCCGTCATGACAAGAAGGTTGTTGTTTAGTGTTTTTTGTGTTAAATGTTGTGGCTTGGAAGGTGCATCAGTGGGTGACAATGATATTGTTCATTAAAAAACGTGGGTGTGACCATGCTCGGGTCACCTTTCGATCGACTATGTCTACATTTCAGTTTAAAAGGTTCTGGACCAGCAGCAAGGCAGCAAGCAAGGACCATCTCACCTCAGACCTCCTTAGCGTCGACTAAACTCAAAACAAGGTGGTCACGCCTTGCACCTTTCACTCCTTCGGATTGACGCTTGCCGAAGAAGTATTATCCTGACAAAAATTGAGCCGGCATGAACCTGCCTGAATGGGTTTCCACACAAGGATCCTTGAAGTGCCCCGAAAAAATGAGAAATCAAATCTTGTTTAGCTACTAGAACGCCTTCTACCCTATAAATCCCCACCAGGACCCCACCCACAAACCAATGAACAGCGCAAAATATGTTCAACTTTGTGAAAAAAGAAGGGACCAACGCAAATCAATATACATCCGTGACCACTCCCCAGCTAAAACTGGAATCAAGGGCTCCTTCCGTCCTTACCCCTTCTCCGAGCAGCCGTAAACAAATATCGCGTAGATGCTTCGCATCGCAGGAGCCCCATGCCGTCGTCATACGCAAAGCCGTAGACCGCTGGACAGCGTGCCTTCAGCGTCTGAACCTTCGGTGACCGAAGAGTCTCGACCGATGCGAAGGAGCCGGTGATCGAAGGAGCCGTGAGCCAATCCGGTGATGTCCGATGCAGGTGACACACGTTGCTCAAAACACAATGGACATATAGTGGAGCGATGTGGAGCAAATGATGGTGTTACACTCCTCTCATGGTCACAAATTCTATGCATGAATGGATCCATGGTCATGGTCTCTGCAACTGGTCTGGTTGTACACTCACTTCCGATTTGGGAGATCGGGGTTGTAGTCAGGCCCATAGTAAGGTGGCAACTCAGCTAACGAAAGTGAGAGCGAAGATCCTCCCTGGCTCAGAGGTGCCCCAAAAGGGCTGAGCGGAGCCGGTGTCAACAAATTGGTGGGTGGGCTTGGGTGGTTCCCCTCCCTAGATCAGCGACCCATGGTCATACTGGTCATCATATGGCCATAGGGCCGTGGACCGACTGCCCCAGCCCCTGACTGCTCCAAGCAGCATATTGGGTATCTCGCACCGGCCCTTTGCGACACTTCTTGGGTGTCACAGGGGGCGTTGGGCAGCAATAGGGCAAAAGATCATGATCAGTTGGTGAACGTCCTCCACCATGATGATGGTCAGTTGGAACGGCGTAACGACTACAATGACTACAACCACCGGTTGTAAGCGTAGTATAAAATGTTTTGCCCTTAAACTTTAAGACATGGTGAAGGCCTCGAGGCGTGTTCTCATATGGTGGCCTTATCATCTTGGCCAACAAACATCTTTGTTTGAACCTTTGAGATGGCTTCTTAGGCAGTGCTTCAGGGTGAGAGCCTTCCCTCAGACAAATGCATCACCAACGCAACAGCAATAGGCCAACCAAACACGGCCGCATGGAATGCTGAAAACGTTGCGATGTTTTGCAGTTGGTTCTGCGGTCCATTGGAGCTATTGAAGCTATTGGTGGCTTCTCTCCCAGTGCAGCACTGAGAGGTCTTTCAACAGGTCTCCTTCTGCGATTTCGTTGTTCCACTGCCTCAAGGTCAGCTTGCTGCAGGGTGAGTAGCAGCCCAAAACCTGCGGGGTCGTCTCGGGTTTGAGGTCTGCACCCACACAAAACCCCCAGACTGCTCAAATGGACAAAACAAAATCCTTACTTATATATATATATATGTATACAACCCGTGGGATGGTCGGATCCTTCATGATCCTTCTACTCCGCTATTGGGCATGCTTGGGGTGCGCCTAAACCTGCCCGCGACCTGGGAAACAAAAAAAACATGCGCCTTGCCGCGTTGTGTGGCACGCAAATCCACCCATTGGGTAGCTAGCTCCTCAAAGGGTGGGCAATCGTACCTTGCACTTGCTGAAGAGGCAAACGGCCGGCGAACAAAGGCCACGCGTGCCGGATGTGCAGGAGAAAATAAGCTTGGTATATATTGACCTCTGCACGTGAAGACCAATGCCATTTGGAGGACTCAGGATTAACACGCACAAATAATAGGTTGCATATGATTCCATGTAGACAAGCTAAAGCATTGTTAAGAAGAGTTGCCCCCATTTTTTCTGGTGCTAGTGGAGTGCTTCAAATCCAATAGAACTCCGAGATACAAAGTCAAGCCCATGCAATCAATGTGCATCCGGTCATCCTCACAAGGGCCATCCGATCGTCCGCACCCCTTGCACCCCTCTTGTTGCTCTTGAGGAAGCTATGGGAGACCCTGACATGGCCTGCACAGCGCAAAAAATGCAACATGATCAGCATGCACTTTCTCTCATTCAGCTTCCTGACTATCAATCCTGTCGACTGCACCGTTTGCATGGCCGACCATCGACGGTCTTTTGTCCTCAACCAATGCACCAGAGCCATTATAGCCTAGGAGCAGGTATCTGCAACTGGCAACAATCCTCATGTGATATATATATATATATATTATATCATGATATTGATTGATATATGCGAGTGGATCTTAATCAGCGAAGTTTGAAGCTATCACTGACGGTCCATAAGCGGCGTAGCGTCGGAACGGAAACCGCACCTTTTCTAGTCGCTTGATCCTTGAGCCAAAGTACATATGGTACATATATATGTACAAGTTGCACTGTACGTGTCGCTGCACTTCCATTCGCACCCCCCATGTGAACGGCAACAATATGTTCCGATCACACACGAAAATTTAGGGATGTAAGTGCTACAAAAGAAATTGTATGATTTGCCGCGAGACTCATATGAGGCTCATACTACGAAACATGCTGGACTAAAGCGGACTTTTACATATAAAGTGTGCAACTATGGCTCAGAACCTATGAAAATCGAATTGAACAAGTGAGACAGTCACGAGGCCTCGCTCAGTATCCACTCAAAAGAGCATCGCTTTGATGTAGATCCGAACTGGTGACTTCCACGTAGATGTCACATCGGCAACTGACTTCACACTTCTCAAAAGATGTAGGTTTTGGTTTGGATACACTTACAGAACGGCAAGTCGGAGAGACAGTCGGTGACTGTCTACCTTCCATTATGCTCATGGTATCAAATCGTCAATCCGATGATTTGCAATGATACACTTACAGCGTTTCAGATCAGATAGACATCCGGTGAATGACTTCCTCCCTGGTTTGCATGGTATCCTCATAGTCGTTCAAAGAAATCACCACTGGCGATAACCTCTCCATCCACGATGATCCCAGCTGCCCTGAGCATCCCGCCGATCATCTTCTCCCTTCTTGGACTTTCCCTTGGACTTGCTCTTTCCCTTCCCCTTTTCAGAAGGTTGAGGTACTTCGCGACGTTCTTGCGTTAGCGCCGGCCTCCAAGATGTTCCAGATTGGCCTCCTCCTTTGGAATGTCCTCGGGATGATGAAGAAGTTGTACCTTCTGCTGCATGCGCGTTGGCGGCAAGATCTTCCTGCAAAGCTTGCTCAAACACATCGGTAGCACTGGATGGTGATTTATCATGTGGTCTGGCTTTTGGAGCAGCCTTCGCCTTGTTCTCCTCTGCTGATGAGGGTCCGAAACTCTTAGGTGCTCTTGCAGGTTTTGGCTCCTCACTTGGTGCTGACGACGGCTTGGTCTCGGTTCTGGGTGTAGATGCTGGCTTTGCCTCAGCTCTTGACGAAGATGCTGCTTTCGCTTCAGACTTAGTCGTTGATGTTGACTTAGCTGTTGCCTTGGCTGCCTGCTTCTTCTTGCCCTGAATCTCCTTGGCCCTATCTCCAAAGCCTAGACGATCGGTAAGAGCTTGAACATGCTTCTGTTCTACCACGCTCATCCATCTCTCTGTATGTCCAATGTTGGGATTTCTGGCCATTGACTCTACGACATTCTGAGCGTGTGGGGGCAACCTGATCTCATGTTGATCAATGATCAGCAGAATAGACTTCTCCCATTTGCTCTTCATTCTCGAGTACATGATGTCCAGAGGATCGATCACCTTGTGGTTGGGTGATGTAACGTCGGTTCTAAAGTAAGAATATGTCCGACAACCATAAATCGCATGGATGCACTTCTGTACCAATTCAGTCATTGCGCTAGCTTTCTTCGCTTTCAACTCCTCAAGCTGGACGTCAGTCAAGTTGGTGGAGTATTCGAAGTTGCCATATTCCTTCTTGAAGGAGTACGGAGTATGACCAAATGATAGGATCACGAGTGCCACCTTGCAAATGAATTGCTCTCCTCTGAATCGGTGCCAGGCCTCCTCAATCGTAATCTTGTTTTCGTTGGCAAAGATTCTCATCATGTCATCTGTTGGATCCAATGGTCTCCCATCGTCATCGATTTCAGTGAAATCCTCTGTACCGAACTTGCTTATCACATCCAGTCGCTTCCTTTTCCAATTTGCTTTGAAGTCGGTAAGGCTGGTGCAATAGTAGCTCTTGTACATCAGGGAGATCATGTTCAGCACACATTTGACCACATACCTATCCATCAAACCCGATGCATTCACGGAGACGTCCTGACAGTAGGCTCTCTCTTGATGCGCATAGATTCGAGGTTCCGGTACTCGACAATAGATGGGGAGATCTTCGTTGTCTCTTCCTTCTTCGGGATTGAACTCGGTCGCTCCATGCTGTGCATAGTATCCCGGTTCATCACGATCTGTCGGTCGATTCGCCTCCGGATGTAAGTCGTCGGTGACGTCTTCATCCTCGGGTTCACCATCTTGACATTTCTTCCCCTCATATTGTTGTGTGCTCCTCTGGATCTCGATGATCACGTTTCGTTCGTCTTCATCTTCTAGATCAGAATCACGATCGTAGTCGATCTCGTCCTCATTGAAAGATGGGGTCTCGACATTGTCACTCTTGAAGTTTTCTGCACCATCAGACGGTTTGGAAGGATCTAGATTGTCCATGTCCTCGTCGTCGTCAGCTGCTTCAGTTTGAGCGATGTCTTCTTCCCAAGCCTTTCTGATCTCATCCATAGTGGCCTGGTCCAAGATATCTTGATCATCATCTTCAGGCTCCTTCTCTTCCTTCTTTTCCTCTTCATCGTCGCTCACAAGATCAACGGGTGAATCGGAAATGACAGTGTTGCGAATACCACACGAGAGTAGCCTGCCTTGACAAGATAGACACACGGACAAAGATGAAGAAGTCAAATGCATACATGATGGACACAAAATATTGCCATCCACGTTGCGATACCCTTCACATGTTCTGGAGATGATTTCGTCCCAAGTTTCCTCACTGATGGAATCCTCGATCAGCTCTCCATTGTCATCGAATTGTACTTCATCGATAAGGGACACGAGCTTTTGGACGTTGTCATCTGTCGCCGAGGCTGACTTCGTGACTTCGTCGGCTCTCTCGAGGATGGTATGCTTCTGAGCAACCCAAAGTCCATGACGTGCCGCTAGAACAACTTGCTCTCCAGTGCTTCCCAGCAGGAGTCTCCTCCATGCCTGAACGTAGTCGTCCCAATACCAAGCACCTCGTACACATCTCCATGGAATTTCTCTAAAAACAACAGTGTAGGAATTCTCCGAAATTCTTCCCCCAAGCTTCCTCAAAGTCATGATTGGAACATAAAGGCAAACGGGCATTCCCACTCTTGGCCATCTTGATCTCAGAATCTTTGATGATCGATCATCCCACGGCGCAAAGTGGTTGAAGAAAACACTACCTCTATATCCCTCCGTTCCACCAGGGACAATTCCTAGTTTCATGATTGACTCAATATTGGAAAGCGATGTCATGTGAAAGCTTCCTCCAAGCTGCATTGCCACATTCTCTGGAATGAGATGTGAAGTCCACACAGGATATATTGACACATCCTCTTCAAGAACAGTCTCTCTTCCGGAATTGTGAGAGGCAACAGCTCGAATTGCACAAGGAACGATCCAACGTTCATGCTTCAGAAATGACGGTGCATCTGTGCTGTAATACATGAGGTTTGCCCAGTATTGCCTTTCCTCTTCGAGTGAGACATCCTCCCTTGAGATACGAATGGCGGCAATCTGATAGCGTACTCTGTTCTGCAACTTCTTTGCATGCCACATCGCCTTGCATAAATACTGGTATCGCTCTGTCTTGACATCTTGACGATGCCGATCATTTGAGATAGTACTGATATCGACACCATCGTTGAAGACATGGTCATATTCCAGGATCTCATCGATGTTCACCCATCCACCCTCATTGCACTTCGGGGACACATGAGGTTTTCGACCGCGGTGCGATTGAATCCCATTATGCTTTCCCACTCCATGCATGAGTAGTCTATTGAGTCTATGGCTAACTTCGTTGACCCGCTGACTCTCCTCGCTGAACTTGTCGATGCGAGTTGCTGGGTTCATCTTTGGTGGATCCGTGAAAGTTGCATCTCTCTTCGGTCCATTCCAGTACTCCACATAGAATGTAACTCCATACTGTGGAATTATCTCGATGCTTCCTCTATCGCAAGTCACCTCAATCTGCCGATATCCAACCTTTTGAACTTGTTGTGGGTCAGGAGCAAGGTCCTTCACTTTGGGCATCTTTATTCCGAGTGCTGCAGCCTCCTGAATAAGTGCATCAAGTTCCCACTTTCCATTAGGACCTGATCTATCAACCCTGTGATTTGCGACCCTGTACTCTCCTCCTTCTTTGTCATCGGCAATGTCAAAGAGGTCGACGGGCTCTTTGAATCTGGTGACGAAACTGGCGTTCCCAAAGGCCTTCTTGGTTGCCTCGACCGCTTTCGCGTATTCCTCTTTTGCAGAGTCTGACGAGTGTGGTCTACCTTTGGCTCTCGGAGAGTGAGGTGGTACCTTACCTCCTAGTTCCGGCTCTTCTTCGGGAAGTTCAATATCTTCATCATCCACATCCATGTAGTCCTCGTCTTCGACGTCTTTGGATGACTTTGCTTTCCTCTTTCGGCTTTCAACATCACGTCGGATGATTGCCTTGTCGTCCTCGGTGAAGCACTTGCGCATAGTGTCCTCCATGTGAGAGAATGAGTTCATCAACTCGTCCTTCTTCTCAGTGTTGGGACAAATAGCCAGGTGATGTTGGTTTGAACCACAACAATAGCACACCTTTTGGCTCACTGCGCGTGCTCTGACCCTTCTGAGGTTGTCATAGGCGGTTTTCCAGTTGGAAGCGGTTGCTGTACCTTGCCCACTGCGCTTGGCAGCTCTTTTCCGTTCTTCAGTATCTGGATTCGATGTCGGGTAGTGCGACCATGTTTTCGTCGGGGATACTGAACGACCTTCCCCATCCTTGTAGTCTTGCGGATCAAGCTCAGGCGTAGGTGGTTCAGGCTCCTCGACTCCTGGAGTGGTACTCGCAGGGTCGGCTTCGCCATCCTTCATCTCTACATCAGGCTCTTCCGTAGACGTTCTTTTGGGCTCTGGGGCTATGGCCAGTCGTACCATTCTCCTGAACTCTGGTCTG